TTATTAATTTATTAAAAAAATATAAATATCTAATTACATTTTATCTCCGCTAATTGTTTTCTTTTTTCGACTCTCGCGAGTTCGGCTCGTTTCGCTTCCTACTGCGCTTTTGTTTCTTTATCTTCATTGTACGAAACTTGACTTGTAGGTACTACCAATATAAACAGTTCCTCGACTATCGCATCAATCTGACCGTTCCACATATCTTTGAACGGGATTTTCAATATCAATTTCCCTGAAAGCATTTTATTGTAAAATAGTAATTTTATGTTCTCTTTTATCATATTATATCATATCATATTAATCTTAATAGTTAATATATATATTTTGCATATATTATTAAGATTTAATTATTATAATATATATTAATAAATAAATTGAAACGGCACGAAAGGTTGCAAATGAGAGAATAGGAGGTGCTAAGTTATGCGATGTGATACATGCAGGGATATAAGACTTGGAATAGCTAGAATAAAACATCCCGGTTCCTTAGATTGTAAGTTAATAGGTAATCTGTAGGTATTTATTTGCGTATTATTTGTGGATATAATATTTTTAGTATAGTATAGCATAAATTTAGTAAATGTAAATAGTAGTAGGTCTATTGCGGTGTGGATGAATGTGTGTGGCTAAGAAACATAGTGTAAACCAAGTCCCTTCTTGGCATTTGTATATAAGCTAAAGTAATAAAGCTACTACTACTATTAATAAATAAGTAATATAATTTTTATACCTAAGCGACCATATTCTAATTTCACTGGAAGATCCAACACATCTAACGCAGACTCTTTTATCAACAAATCATTTAACACAAGATCGCCTGAAAGCAGAGATTTTTTTATATGAAACACACAATTGTTATCGAATAAAAGAATCACACTGCATGCATTCTTACCTCCCCAGAGACTGACTTTAAGCTGCGTATAGTCCAAATTCTCAATGTACTCGCCCATCACCTTGTTAAGGAGCTCCGCAACAATAGATTCAAAGACCATTTTGCTGCCGGTTTTCTTTTCGTTTTTTCTCAATCAAATTTTGTAATTCCTCTGTGTTGCGACACTATGATACAGCTCTTAAAATAAAGATAGACATTTATGTTTAATAAGTTATACTTATAACTACAGTATAACTTAGAAAAAAAAAAAACACTTTTATGTAAACAACTAAGATTTTCATTAGATTCAACTAAGAAGACCTTATATCGAATGGTATATTTGCCAATTTTTTTTTTTGAACATGTTGACAAATGAAGTAGCGCTACAAATTTTGGTTTCGATCCAATACTTTAGCTAACAATCAAAAAAAATTATATCTTAATGTATACATACTATAACAAATTTGAAAAATTACATCTTAATGCACACATATAACAGACAATCTACGTTATAATTCAAAACAAACTTTTGTAAATACTATTAAGCAACTGATAAGAATTTATAGGATAAGATGGTATAGTTTTGAACTTAACACAATTCTGAAATAAAATTTTAATTCAATTTCGAAATTCAAGTTTAATTTAATTTTTTCCTGTTTGATTATTTTTCAGTACCCTCCATTCAATAGAGGATTACCACAATTGTATCTCGAAATTGGATTCAAATTTTGTTTCATTCAGAATTGTACCACGTTTGAAATTGTACCACCTACTTTTCTCTGACAAAGCTTTATCTGCTCCTCCATTAGCCAGAATTTACACTCTGACGCATCATGAACATCCTGTCAGCTTAAATTTATCTTATCATTACAACAAAGATAATACATTGATAGATAAATATCGCAACAAATAGAGCTCCAGAGAGTTTCTTACATTAATAATGTAACAATTGTTAAACAAACAAATTTTTTAAATTTCTTTTCTTCACAACATTGAAATACTCTTGAAACCGTACAACTTTCATTTAAAAAATTTTTTTCCATCTTTTATACTTTCGATGATATTCGCCTCGAAAGAAAAATACCTTTTTTTTTTTCAAAGGGGTGTTTCACCCCTTAAACATGAGTTAGGGCACATATAAAAAAATACGTGTCTCTTAGATTTTCGTGTTTAACAACATATTTCATGGAGAATCAAATCGGTTCCGGACAGTTGTGAAACTTCCCTCGTAAGTAAAGCACAATGAATTAGCCAATCATAGCTATTCCTCTGAAGAATGGAATGACTGCGATTGGCCAGTTTCCTAACATCGATGTTATAACTTCGGCGTAAATCGATCCGTGTAAACGTAGTCATTGTCTCAAGCTTTTGCACATTATAGGTAAAAACTCTGTTGAATCTTACTTATCAGAATGAAAAGGAACATGCATTCAACTGAGTTATGACACCATAAATGAGAATTGTCTGAGTTTTGGTATAAATGGAAAGCAACTATAATAAGTGAGTGTAGTACAAATAAAACAAAGTTGAATAAAAATCTCAAGTGTCTACAAAAAAGTTATCTTCTCTAAGTTATACAGGGATCGTGTATCTTGAAACAAGGTGAAAAATACAGAAATAAATTTACTAGGTGTGTATAACCAATGAAATTATAAATATTCTAGTAACACAATAATAAGTTACTTGGGAAAACAAAACTGTATGAATAAATCAACTAAGAGAAGTTTATTTATGTCTATTATTTCCAAATCTGACATTGAAATAATATATCTAGAAGCATTTAAATAAAGGACTCTGTATATCCTTATGAAACCAACTTCTGTCAAATTGATAAAATTTTTAATATGTGGTTGTTTTTATAATGCTGATTAAAATGATAACATCGCACAAGATCACAACTATATCAAGTTACACACACAGAGATCATATTTTATTTTTTTTAAACGTTTCTGCTAAATGTATTTTATGAGTATAATATCTGAGTTTTTAAATAAAAAAAATCAAAATTCTTTACACGTTAGTTGAAAATTCATTTTATACTTATCATTTCACATTTATTATTTATTATTTTCATACTTAAAACAGAAATAATTCATAATCAGTCCTTAATTCAGGACAAAATTTAGGAAGTGTTGTAAAATAGGAGAGTTAAAAAATTTGTCCTTCCTAATTTAAAACAGTCGGTCACCATTGTAATTCGACACCATAACTTACTAAACAAAAAGCTTTTTATCTTCACTTTACACAGACATAATTACTAATAATTACGTTGTATAACGCGACAATGTCACGCCGAGAAGCGACGCGTATTTACCTTAATTTCGTCAGAACACGCAATAATCCACATAGATGGTACGTGTAATCATGTATATGGCCGAGAGCAGAAACAACGAGATGACGATGACGATGACGATGACAACGACGACGACGACGACGTCGACGTCTTCCACAGGAGCTCGTCGCGACGGCGAGCGTTCACTACCGTCGCACGGCGGACATAACCTTGAAACCTTGACTCACCCGAGCTCTCTTTTCGAGTTACGTCATCCCCGAGAAGTGTGTGCCGTCTGACGCACTCCGGGGGGCGTACGATCCCGACCCGCCCAGCTGTCCGTCGACCTGTCAGAGCCGGATTCCCGGCTGTTGCGTTTACCGGTCTTCTCCTCAGCGTCGTTGATCTGTGTACAAACACGGGAACGCACTGCGTCGCGGCATCGAGTAGATTAAGCGAAATAGACCGAAATAGACCGGTGACGTCCGATTACATCATTCGCTGATGTTTTGTCGTAGAACTATCCGCGCGTATCGAGGTGAGGGGACCAAAGAACGCGGAACGGCTGGCTGATGTATACGTGAAATGTGGTCAGTGGGGAACGGAAACGGCGCCAAGGTCATGCTAGATGACGCGATTATGGCGATATATCGCGAGGTATCGCTTCTAGCCGCGCGCTGTCGATTCTACCAATGTCAGTTCATTCAAAAAATTGCACAAAGGGTGTTCTATTTCATTTGTGCGTTTTCGTCGTACGACAAATGTAATACGGGAGGTCTTCGGATGTCTCTATCTTGTAGCCAATCAACAGGCTTGAAAAATTTGTCGTACGACAAAAACGCACAAATGAAACATCACCAAATGCGATTTACAGCATTCGAAAGAGTGAATCTTTACTTTAGCGTTTTTTTCGGCCCGGCCGGGTTTGCACCAGCCTGGGTTGGATTAATGGCGTTTTGTGCTCTCCTATTGGTAGAGCGTGTAACGTCAACCAATAGGAAAGATTAATCCAACCTAGATTGGTGCAAACCCGATCGGGCCGTAAACGCTATTAATTTACTTTTTTATTAAGCTCTGTATAATTTTTCTCTTCAATCTGACCGTCATTAGTTTTAATTTGAACACATTGCGGCGTAGCTTTTGATCGAGTAGATCGCGCACCAATCGATTATAAAGTTATTGGCCGCCTCGTCGTCGCGTCATCGCTCTCGCCAATGCGCGTGCGTGCAATGCGCTGATTGGCCGCTTGAGTTATTTTGAAAGAGACATGGTGCCGCGGTTTTTTGTGAGTATTGCGCAGTGTTGCCAGCGGGGACGCGTTTTCTCGCGCGCCCAACTTCAACATCGTATCAAGTTCACAAGAATACGGGTACCTTTAGAACCCGTATTCTTGTTCCAGATAAACTACTAGATTTTATAGAGAGATACATAATTATTAGGCTTATAATAAGTAAAACAAACAATGTAATTAAAATAAGATAAAGAAATTATAAATATAAGAATAATTATATGTAATTAATATATAATAGAAACATGGGGAAGGATATTAAAATAATTTGTATCATCTTTTTACATATTTTAAATAAAATATTTTTTTTATATTGAGTTAATTTTATTTTATTATAAATCATATTTATAAAATATATTTTTGTAAAGAATACTGGTAAGGTTTTTGGCAGTTTTCCTTATTCTTGCAACAAATGTTGGTATTCTTATGATTCTACCAAATAAAATATTTTATTTAAAATATGTAAAAAGAGAGATGATTAAAATTATTTTAATATCCTTCCTCACGTTTCTATTATATTATATATTAATTACATATAATTATTCTTATATTTATTTCTTTATCTTATTTTAATTACATTGTTTGTTTTACTTATTATAAGCCTAATAATTATGTATCTCTCTATAAAATCTAGTAATTTATCTGGAACAAGAATACGGGTTCTAAAGGTATCCGTATTCTTGTGAACTTGATACGTGTGAAGTCGCGCGCGCGAGAAAACGCGTCCCTGCTGGCAACGTGGCAACACTGGTATTGCGTAGTCATACGATCCCGGCAGACGCGTAAATCCTGGGAAATCGTTTGCCTGGGATGGATATGCGTCGGTCCGAGTGTTGTCTTAATATTTTTGAAAAGTGCGGCCGGCAAACGATCATTAGTACTCAAACTCACTTTTGTGTATTCTATTCACGCGATCTAACCGTATTGTTCATTAAAATTTCTAGAGGCAAATGCCATTAATTAAGAAGAAGAAACGGCAGACGCGTTTCGGCTCGCGGTCGAATATACATAATATACGAACAGTCGCATGTAAGTACGTTTACATCATACAAATAAACGAATTATAATTATATGATGGCTGCGTTCCACTTAACGCTTACAACGCTCGTGGGATCATTTCATCCTTGACGTTTATCAAATATTAAACAAGAACAAACGATGCTCGCGAGCGTTGCGAGCAATAAGGTAATAGGTTTGTTCGCGTCGCAATATCCAACATGCTCCAACATGCTCCTACCATAGCTCCTACTCACTCCAACGCGCTTGATAGAGTGAGTAGGAGCTATGGTAGGAGCATGTTGGATCTTGCGACGCGACAAACCTAATATAAATAAATAAAATTTTGTGTAACTGTCTGAACATAGGTCCGATCCCAGTGTCCGGACACAAAATTTATTATTAATTTCAAATGTTTTTTTTATTACAGAGTGTTATAATTTAATTGCATTTAAAGATTACAATTCAGTTATAATATTACGTTTTAAAAAGCGTATTTGAGACAAATATTAACTTAAATAAATAAAGTGTTATGTAAATGGACATAGGTTATGTTCAGTCACTGGGATCGGACGGTACCTCTATGTCCGGATAGTTGCACAAAACTTTATTTATTTATATTAATATTAATCTCAAATGCTTTTTTTACTTTAAAGATCAATTTGAATTAGTTGTCTTTTGTCATTAAACATCTATTTATATTATTATTTTCCGTCAGCATATTAATTTTCCAATTGTGGTCCGACATTGGGACAATTACGTCTCAGTGTCCAACTGGCTTGTCCGGCCACTGGTACATTGATTCTACTGGCATTCTATTATTTATTTAAATTTCTTAATTAATAATTGTTACAGGTGGGTTCAAATAATTTTTCCTTGCTTAAGGGAGTCTTAAGTTTTCAAATGAATACAAATATTTATATTAAAAACCTTTTTGATATTATAAATTGTATTATTTATAAGAACCTAACGCTTAAACGTCCAGCTACTGGGACATTTACCTTAAGTGGAACGCAGCCGATGTTGACAAATTTGTGTAAATTTAAATATACACTGTTAAAAATGTAACCACTTTACATGTAAATAAAGCTCGTGGTTATGGACGAAATTAAAAATAATGAATTTAACTAAAAATTAAATTACAGTAGTTACTTAAATGTAATGAACGTGTACATTAAATTTCATGTATATGTACACAAATATACTTTTCAGTTATAAATATATTAAGTTTAATGTAATATCATGAAATTAAGTTCAAATTGTGTGACTTAAAAGTATATTAAATTTCATGAAATTTTTAACAGATGTATATAAAACCAAAATTTTCAGCTTTAAAATCAATTTTCTGCTTTAAAAACATTATTTTCTTATATAATTTTTGTTCTTAAAGCAGCAAATTTACGATTTTACGACTCTTTATTTAAAATAAAACATGTACGAAAGTCGTTACGTTCCTAGGCAGGGTGGGAGATGGGGTAGATCTCGTTTTGCATTAACCTTGATTTACAATGTATTGATATATCTTCGTTTTGATTTTTGCGAAGCAAGTTTCATCCTTCCTCCCCCCCTGCCAAGGGGTGCATGATTTTCCTCGTGAGTTTAGGTGACCCTACATGGTCAATATATAATACTGATCAGTAATATTAGGTTTGTCGCGTCACATGCTCCAACATGTTCCAATATACTCCTATCATAGCTCTTACTCCAACGCACTTAGGTAGAGTAAGTAGGAGCTATG